TTCGCTTTTCTTTATTTCTTAAATATGTCTGATGTTGTAGTTCTTTACGTCGCTGTTCAGAGGCCAATTGTTCTTGGTCACTCAACTTTCTACGTCCAACCCCACCCTTACAAATCTTCGTCTGCTTTTTTCCCCTTCTGTTCTTATTGAATACGTTTATCAATGTAAGACTTCCTTCGCTTTTCTTTATTTCTTAAATATGTCTGATGTAGTAGTTCTTTACGTCGCTTTTCAGAGGCCAACTGTTCTTGTTCAGTCAACTTTTTACGTCCAGCCCCACCCTTGCAAATCTTCGTCTCAAAATCGATCATAAAGTCAGTTTTTATAATAGTTTTCATAATCGTAATATATCGAATGAGTATCACTTTACCTTGTTGGAGTTGGTACTTCAAATACTTGATAACGTCTTCTTTCACTTTTCTGATGTTTTAGGCCAACTGTCAGTCAATATTCAAGAATGCTAAGTGCTCCTTCTAGAGCAGTGATAATACGACTGGCTTGATATTTTTTAATTTCTTTGTTGTGAAGCCTTATTTGTTTACACGGCATTATTGTGTTCCACAACAATGCCGAGTAAAATATCTGTTGGCATTGTTGATGACGTCATTTTTTGACGACAAATTGGTTGAAGACAACGACTAATCACAAATTTTTATTGTTATATAAATAATTCTAGCACAGACCAACATTCACAGCCGAGAAGATGACTGCATTTTGAAATAATCTTCTTCTTCTTCCTCTTCTTGCTCTTCTTCTTCCTCTTCTTCCTCTTCTTCTTCTTCTTATTCCGCTTCTTATTCTTATTCCTCCTCTTCTTATTCTTCTTCTTTCTCTTCTTCCTCGTCTTCTTCCTCTTCTTCTTCTTCCTCTTTCTCTTCTTATTTTTTCTCCTCTTTTTCTTTTTATTATTATTCTTATTCCTCCTCCTCTTCTTATTCCTCTTCTTCTTATTCTCCTTTTTCTTTTCAGTATTCTTCTTCCTCTTCTTCGTCTTCCGTTTCTTATTCTTATTCCTTCTCCTCTTATTCTTTCTCCTCTTCTTATTTTTATTATTATTCTTATTCCTCCTCCTCTTCTTATTCCTCTTCTTCTTATTCTTCCTTTTCTTCTCAGTATTCTTCTTCTTCCTCTTCTTCGTCTTCCGTTTCTTATTCTTATTCCTTCTCCTCTTCGTATTCTTCTTATTCTCCTTCTTCTTCCTCTTCTTCTTCTTCTTCTTCCTCTTCTTCATCTTCTCCTTCTCATCATCCTCCTTCATCTAACTACGATCAGCATTCTGTCCAACCACTAACGCTTGTTCTAATCCCGCAGGGCATCAACTGGACCGACGTGGCAAGAAGAGACCTCCAGATGCCTTGCCCACCGCACGCCAGTCTCATTTCTATGATCAAGAGCCTCAGCGCTCAAATACTAACGGAGATACCATTTCAGAATGGTAACATATTTGAGGTCAGTACGAGTACTCTGTCCTGCATTTTGTATGTGGTACATAGCAACAGCGCTTCTGTTACGTTTATAAAACATATTGAAAATGATACAGCACACTAATAATAAAGATTTGAATTGAAAGCTGTGGTAATCCTTGGCTAATATTTGGGCACTCTAACTCTGATATGGTGCATTCAGTTAGATTAAACATACGTACCTCACCAGGAGGTCTATGGGCATAAACATTAATTATTGATAAAATAATTGTCATCAGGGTAAACTGCAAACAAAATGAAGGTTTCTAACCTCTACAGATATATGTTACGACTAAGGAAGTGGCCAAATATTAGCCTGGCATTTCCTTAAAGTAACCTGAATTAAAGTAATGGAGTTACTGATTTCTTATAACACTCCTAAGAATTTTCTCGGCTGGCAAAACAAGTTACTGTCCACCGCTTGCCTTTCTTTTTGGTAGGGTGTGAATTAGATTAATCTGGCTCATGACGGTTCCCAATGGCTCACTTGTGAACTTAAAGAACATTCAAGTTCCACAAAAGCAAGCGTTTTTGACTAGCTGAGCAACTATTAGTTTCTCAGGAAGGAATCTGTTCCTGTAGACAGTTATATATAGACCTTACAAACAAAATAAATGCATAAATTATCGTCAACTTAAATGATGAAATAAAAATTTCAAAACCTGAAACTTCAGACTCGCCGCTGTTTAAACCTCAAATCCTACAGTAAAACAGCTTAATAAACCGATATTTGTAATGTGGATTACAATGAGCTAACTCGCGGTCAGGTTAACATTCAGATTACAATACAATGGAGACAGATGTTTAACCTATATGGTCCCAGTGCGAACATTACACAGAACATTTTATTGCCACGTCTAGAGAAAAATTAATTTATCTTATAAAGGATATATTACATAAGCTCCAGTACATCTGAATTTACTTACTTAATTTTGACTTTTGTTATTCGTATTGTAGGTATGTTCATATATAGCCCCGGCCTTGAAGAACAAGGAAACAGACGACCACAGTAAATAGACTTCTCAGCAGTGCCCGAACACAGTAAGTTATAATATTTTGGCCGCATTAATTTATCATAAATTGTGTCTTTCAAAAATACATATTGCGAGTTACGAAATTAGCGGAAATTGCTTCTTATTTTTGCCTCGCGTAATAAATATTTTATTATTCAGCAGATAGTTGATTTTACAATATTTTGCCATTTTTAGGTTCTAACATAAAATATAGGGCAATAAAGAGATTTATGTGACATAATTGGTAGATTAAGAGGTTCAGATAATATACACATCTCAAAACATGTTTGGCCGCCTTCACTTTCTTCCTAAAATCATTACGTCATGTTTTTGAACCAATAATCGAAGATTTCCAGTGGTCAATATCTAAGCCTTAAGACTCACAGCCTTTGTTATGAGCTACACAGCAAACAAATTAATATTTATATAGTAGATAAACAAATCTGAGAAAATTGCATAAAACGGCCTCATCAGATACGCTATGCACTATAAATAAATTGGGCGAGCTACAGTTATTTTTGTATCAGGATGAGAATATGTCTTTGTCGAAATGGAGTTGCTAAGGGGCCCATTATCAATACCCCAGGAGTGGAATGTTTATAGTGATGACACGAAGGACCTGTCCCAGTGCCACCTTGTCTACCACAAAATTCGATATGGAGTAACCTTAGCGCAAACCCGGGGCTCCATGTTAAGAAGCCTATTGTTAACTGCCTGAGCTACGTCTTGGTTCTAAAAGCTTGATACTCAGTAGTTAATAAGGTACATTATTTTCAGGACAAACCTCCAAATGAGTGACAGGTAAATGTAACGGCATCAAAGGACAGAATGTGCTGGTCGTGACTAGCTTGGTCGCTGGATTGCTATTGGAAGACTATAGCCTAAAAGAATGAGAACAACGCATACCACGACATGGAGGGGCAGAGACCTCCACAATCAGCACAGAACAATTTACTGGGAGTCAGTCAAGATAATTTCCGTCATCGAGTGGGAGATGCAATGCAGAATTAATGTGTCCATGGGTTGTGACACCGTGTGGACTCGTAGGTACACAAGTTTCTGAAAAACATACTTCCTCAACATTCAACACCTCATGAGTCCATCCATGTCTGTCTGTGAACCCCACTTTCAGCAGTCATTTGAGAATTAACACGATTCTATGTCTACCTTATCAGGGCTGTTCCTCGCAAGGCCCTCGCCCAATTCGACTAGCTCTGCTTTGGGACTTTGCCCACAGGACTTGTTCATCGTAACTTTGCCAGCCTCTCCCCACCACCTCATCATTCTCTTACGAGGTTTCCAGACCCCTGTGTTTCGACCATCTGGGGATTTGCCCATGCAGAGCTCAGTTGGGATTTTAGCCCTCAGATCTTTAATCCTAATTCGCGTCATACATGGGTCATAAGCATGGTATTTCCTCAGATGGGAAGTCCAGGTGTTACCTTGGCCCGTGTCATCTAACCTAAGATGATTAAAGTCCAGGAATTTCCAAACCTGTAAGGGAATGATTATACATAAGCTACACGGAGCAACTCTGAGGGCAGAGTCCCAAAGAGAGGCAAGCCGGACGGGGCAAATATCTGGGGTTAGACAGTCCTTCCGAATGACACAGCGGCCGAAAGTAAGATACGTAGACATACAGAGATGGGCTTTTACAGTGTAGAAGATGGAGGCAGAGTGCTCTTTCTAAACGCTGGTATCTAAGTTCACGTGGCGTTGCAACGCAGCGTAAAAATCCAGGGCATGCCTCTGGAGTTAAAGCTCACTTATATATTAGTATTTATGTGTATAAATTAATGAATTAATGTTCCTTAATGAAGGCCAATTAATTCACCTTCAAAGCCACACCGTGTCTTTCAAGACATGGAATGTATCACATAGTGTAACATGTCGTCCTTAAAAATAAACAGGTAAAAGAAACCCTCTGATGTTGAGAAGACACTGTAACTTTCAAATAAAAACTGAACACAACATTGTAAAGTATTAAGCATAAATAAATTATTCAGCAGTACAATTCTCGATTTATTTTAAGTTGTAAGAAAATAATTTTAATATTCCAACAATTTACTTGCAATAACAATTATATTAAGCAATAATCTGAATTTTACGAATGAAAAAAGCTGTTTAGCGTTAATACTAGTCGTGATGTAATCATCAGATATGTACAAAATTAGTGTCTTGTCCTGTTGGCTACACAGTGTTTAAATATATTAACACAGACGTTTCGTCTAAAAATACGGTTGCATTACTCGTGCACCGTCTTGTGTCTGTCTGTCTGTCTGTCTCCGTGAATGTGTCCCAGTGGTCCGCTAGTGTCAGTTGTCTGTACACACCGGCAATTGTTATTGTAAACTATTTGAATTTTTGAAAATGTTTAAATTCTGAAAAATTTGAAGTCTTCGAATTATTTAACTGATGATATTTTGGAAATTTTTAAATTTTATAAAATGTTTATAATTTTAATTTTTTATAATTTATTTTTCTAGATTTCGAACACGAATTTGGAATACGCCATTTTAAATAATTTCCTTCGATTTTCAGACACTCCAGCAATACCATTAATGCTACAACCAGTTATAATGCGTTTTCTGCTGCCCATTGCAATGACCAGGAACTACTACTGTAATCAGTAATAATTCATGTATTAGGTATGCGTTCTGTAGGGCCAACCCAACCGTTGTGACGATGTCTAGATCTATAGGAGGTGAAGATTTTACTCGATAGCCGACACTGGTTCCTGAGCGATAGCGAGACGTAGTCGATTATCGCGTAGGGCCAAATTCTAAAGATCGATTCTTGGTTAGTGCAACTAACTATTCAGCTTCTCTATTTAAGGCGCGTTCTCACGAATCAAGTTTAATTGACCGATTATAGTTGATCAACAAAAGTTGAATGAAATCTGTAGTGAGAACCTTTGTTTCAATAGAGTTGATCAACTTTTTAGTGGATCAAGAAAGGTTTGACCCAGTCAAACTTTATCGTTCAAGTGATGAGTCATCCGCCATTTGCTTTCAAGTTGAATCCTGTCTTGAAACGTGTGAACTTCAGTTGATTGTCAAGTTCGCTTTCAACTGGTCACGCCACTCGTGCATGTGTTGTGTTTTTGTTTTTAGTTTTTTGTTTTTGTGTTGTGTTTTAGTTAAAAAAATTAGCCTCAAGTGGTCTAAAAGTGTGATGCTAAAATTCTTAGAACTTTATCATAAGCATGATTGTCTTTGGAACCACCGACTGGATAAATATAAAAATAAAGATGCAAGAGAAAATGCTTTGGGTTCTATTGTCAAAGAAATGGAAATTGCTGGTCTGAAGAACAAAATTAAGACGATTAGAACGATGTATAAAAAAGAACATTCATTGGTTTGCAAATCAAAACAAGTCGAATGGGAACAGAGGAAGTATACGTGCCGAAACTGTTTTGGTACAAAAGAGCGGATCTCTTTCTAAATGGTGTTACAAATACAAGATTTTTGCTCATGTTAAATAAAATTATTTTTAGTTCTTCTTTTAACAAAACAGTTACTATCCGTACAACTTCACGCACAACTGCTTTCGACGCCATTTTTAACTGAAACTGTTGATCAGTTTCTATTGAAATGTGTGAACAAAAACTGATTCAAGGCATATTCAACTTTTGTTGATCAACTATAATCGGTCAATTAAACTTGATTCGTGAGAACGCGCCTTTACGTTCTAACAACTAATTCCCTAATAACCAATCCTGCTCGTTATGGTCTGCATAATGATGCAAGATAGCATGAACTCTCAGGTACAAAACAAAAAGAAATAGAAATTAAATAACCTACTTTAAATAAATCCCTATAGATACCAGCCTATATTTTAAATAACTATATAATAAATTATACGTCAAAATCGTATTAAACAGTCGCCATAATTAAATTCACATTAAAGAAATATCAACTGTGGTCATCAAAAACTTTTTATTTATACCTTTTTCCCCGTTAAATAAGGGTAATTTTATTTCGTTAAACACGGCATCTATACAAGTCTTTATTTCGAATCAAATTAATCACGTAACACCAGCTGTAGCAACAAAATCTTCTGTAAGATAAGTAAACATCCTGTTTATTGCGTATATCAGTCGAAACCTGAATCATTAATCCGTCTAACGCACAACACACCACATATCGTACCAATACCAACAATAAATGTTGTTAAAATATTCTGATAATGCCAACAGAACGTATTTTTACACGTGGGCATAATATAGTACTGAAATTAAAGCATGTCAACTGTCTGTAACGTAATAAACATTCAACAAATCAAGTTTATGATTAATTTTCACACGGGCTGTAGTCATAGTTTAGACCTGGGATACACAACCTACGACTCACGGGCCGGATGCAACCCGCGGCACTTCATGTAACCCTTTGACAAAGTTTGTTATCGACTTTATTAGGTGTCAAGATTTTTTTAATGTGCAGTGTTAATGCAAATGGGTTTATTTTTTGATATAACTGCAACAGTTCCTTACAAAACAGAAATATGATTCTTTGTAATGTTTATACGAGCACCATAAAATCAGGCCCAAGTTTCACATAAATAAATTAAGTTTAGACTATTCTTTAGTCAATGTTCACTTCTGTGCTAGTTACGATACTGATGTTTGAATGCTCCGGCCCTTATAGCATATTTACTTTTAATGTGGCCCTCCGGTCTAGAAGGTTGTTCACCCCTGGTCTAATAATTAGCTGCCCCATTAACCATAATGTAGTAGTCCTATTCGTAACAGTTTTTATTAAGATAGCTTAAACTCTGTTGGATATCCTACAAAGCGTTGAAAAAATAAACAGAACTTTATTAACCTCCTAAATTTTTATAAATGCCATTCTACATTTCATATAAATAAAGAGGCTAATCATACCTCAATATCGTTATTTAAACGGTTATTGTAAAGTAATTCACAAAAGTGAACGATTTTCCATAAAGGTAATTCAAACGTTTTCGGTTTTAATTGATGTTTCATTGACCAAAGAACTTGCTGCACTATTTTTACCCTTTCGTAAATTATACGCCCTTCCCTACAGACATCTTCACTTCGATTCAAAGTAGCCATTTACCTGAGATCAACAGCATCTGTAGTAGCAAAAATATTCATCTTTGCTGACAACCTGTAAGCACCCTGTTGCGGTTTATATGAAGTACAACTTGTTCCATTACTCCGTCAAACACACAAAAAACACTTTATACACCACTGACAATAACTGTTATTTAGAAATTGTAGCAGATATCTGCTGTTACATGTTTCGACTTGCGTCATGTAATACCGAACTCACGTGACAACCACACATTCTTATTCCTGATCCCCCATTGACTGACACACGAAGTACAGAGTCGGAAAATTGAACGGTAGAGGGCTGTTTCCAATACAGAACCCAAACACAGTACTAGCAAATTTGTCTTATACAGGTCGTTTTAATGAGGTACAAGACTAAATAAATTTATTAACCGATATTATTTGTTACAGGCTTAGTTAAATTCTCTTAGGTGCGCAAGTGTCTTTCTGCGTCATGGAATGACAATAGCTGCTGCTTACGTCAGTCTACGCTACTGACCGTTCCATGCACATTTCTTCGAATCATTCCATCAACACGTCTTACTTATTTCATTATTATTATTGCTGTTGCTGCAAAGAGTCTGTTTACAGACCAGTGATAAGTAGATATTTTTATCTATTTTTAGAGTCAAATAATTTCTTTCGCCACTTTAATGTTTTTAGAACAGAGAGTCACCACCACTGGACGGGGGAAGGGGGAAATTGGTTTGTCACAAACACGATGATTTGTCACTTTGAGTAACAACACTATTAAACAAATCATTAATAGATACAATTATCATTTGCGGCAATGGCTGTTGCTATACATAACCTTATACTCTAAACCCCAGAACCGTCAGTTGGATAAGCCACTGTGAAGCAAAGATAAATTAAACTTTATCAACCTACTTGACTTGCTTTATCACGAAATATCAGTCGAAATTTCAAATAAGTTAATTATACCTAAAATATCCTGATTAAAGTAGTTATTACACTGAATACATACATGGCATTAAACAAATTTTCACAGTTGTTAAGCAAAGCATTTTAGTTTTAATGATATTTTATAGCAAAAACAGAAGTTAATTTTATGCAAAATAGGTTATTGCATCGAGTGACCGCCTTAATGGTTGTGAACACTGACTCATGTTAAATTTGTTTGGATAAACTCTCCCCACTCCCCTATACATACCTTAATTTATTTCGGTTTAAAATAATCACTTGCCTGAGATCGAAGGTCGCAATATCTGCAGCACACTGAACACTTTTATGACCTAAGACTGGGTGGTGCATATGGATGGGGTATCTAGTAGACTTCGTACATATAACCTTTGTCCAATCCCTTCCCAGTGCACAAATAGCTTTTTTCTCTGCTCTAAAACATGTCATCAAAGTCATAGGGAATAAGGTAGCGCTCGAATTGAATGGTCTGCACCAGATACTAGCCTATGCTGATGATGTAAATTTGCTGGGAGATGGCATGAGTACCATAACCAAGAATGCAGAAATTCTCCTACAGCCTAACAAGGAAATAGGCCTAGAAGCAAATGTAGACAAAACAAAATCAGTATCAGCAACAAAAACAGAACATAATTATAAGTAACATATAATTTGAAAATGTTTAAAAATTTAAGTATATGGGAACAATAACAAATAGGCATGTGGTCCATGATGGAATTAAAAGTAGAATACATTCAGGGAACACGTTTTTATTCAATTCAAAAACTTATCTTGTTTACTGTTCAAAACAGGTTTGTATGGTTGTGAAACATGGTCTCTTACCTTGAAGGAAGAAGTGAGAATGTTATCAAATTACAAATTTACTTTTCCACACATTACAATATTCTTACCTAAAAGAATCATCACAAGAAATACAAAATGCTGGAGTGAGGACACCTTTGAGTATGAAAGTACTGACCAGTAAACTCACTTCCAGTTGCGATAATGGACACCGATAGGGTAAATTAATTTCATGGCTTGATTATAGCCCAGACCTACAACTATTACTTGGATCTGCAGCTGGTCCCACAATTCAGCTAACTCATTTGCATCTTTAGCACCATTTACACAATGGAGTTTATTGCAGATGAAACCTAAATACACTGACCTTACATTTATATCACTTAGAATCACATTGTACAGTTTTACGCCCAACCGTGTTTCTTTGGTGTATACAATTCAAAGCTGAGAGCCTAACTTTGAAAATAAGTTTAATCAAATGCTAAATATGATGTACTCTACTCATTGCCCTCATGATGGAGGCAGCGACAACCTCCAGAAGTTGGTAAACTTCTAGTAACTACTGTAAATCTTATAACCAATTCATATGAAAATTTATACAAAAGAATCCTTCATGCAAACTGCCAGCTCAACACTAAGCACACTGGAGTTAATGTCCATGCCTTGCTCTGGAAATGTTACTCCATTTATCACCTATCAAGAATCTTCTTGCTCTTCCTTCAAAGACATTTTTTTCCATCTGACAAGAAGGCCTCTGTCATATGCATAAGTGGTCAATGCGCTATACAGAAACAGTGAATTCAAATGGGAAATAAAAATAAGCAAAACCCAATTTCATTCTTCAAATGGCACCATGGACAAGCATCATTACCCTGTAGAACAGAATCAGTAAGGCACAACAAAACTGAGGCAGATTTTGCATTTGGATTACCAACATTTCTTTTTATTGGTTCATGAACGATTAATTACTAAGGTATCAACAGAACACATACTAATTTTATCTACCCCATTCATTTGTTACAAACTACTAACAGTATTGGAGTATCTCTACACATTACTTAAATTGACCAAGATGAACAACAGCGGCCAATCTTTTTTTCTTTAGACATTTCGGTGTATCTATTCTCAAGTGCCCTTGCGAGTCAATCAGCTTCACAGCTGGTTTATAAAAGTATTTAGTAATTTGAAGCGCAAAGCAGACACAATTTGTACATATAACTCAATTTGCATCACCCACCTTTGTTCGTGTTGGTCAGTATAACTTGCTTGACTGCAGCCTCCTGTCAAAACTTAAGTTCGATCAAAGAAATTAACACACAGACATCATAAAAAAGTTTAACCTTAAGCCAATCTTGCACTTTTCCCCTCAATATGCTGTAGAGTTCGGTTAAGTCGACCCTCCGCACGGAGGCAATACGTAGCCGTCAACCAACGTCTACTCTTATAAAAATGATTTTGGTGAAACATCAAATCTCCAAGATCTTCAGATATTGCAGACAAAATCACTGATAAATTTGTTTCATAAATGTTGGTGAATAAAAACCATAAAAATTTCACACATTTGTATTACATTTTGACATAGTACACACAATAGAATGAATACAATTGTTATACATTAGTTGATGCAAAATTGTGAAAGTAAAACAAATGTTCAAAGATCTGTTAACAAAATTTCAAAAGATACAGAGTCGCTAGAAAAATTATTTACTCTCCAATGTTGGATTTCATACATTATAAATTCAAAGGCCCTGGGACGTGTACAAATCATGCTAGAAAATGTAGAATCTTCCGAAGTTTGGGAACATGGACGACTTTAACATCACCGCATAAATATTAAAAGAAAATATTGAAGTATTTTTAAAAAATACACAATATTTAACATGGTAGCAGACTAATTGAAATTCTCCATCATAAATAGTGGGAAATTTACACACAAATTTATTCTTTTAATTAAAAAGTTGTCAGTGGAAACACGGTTCCGGAGAATTTGACGTAAATAGGTTCTTAAGATTTTGTATCAGAATGAGAATCCATCCTTATTAACTTACATTTGGTGAGATGTCTGATTTATTTGTAAACAAGTCCCCTAATTTGTATAACTTTTTATCTGCTTTACTGTTGGAAATGTAATGTAAGGTAAGGTAAGGCAAAGTAAGGTATTTATTTTATTTAGTGTTCTGTCTGACGACAGGTCCATATGAACAGGATCCTTTCATCCTTTTCTCG